AGGTTTCTCTGTTTGCAGGGTATGTACCTACATACAAGCGTATATACGGAGGAAGATAGAGAGTTGAGACAAATACTTCTGGTATTAATTTCATCACAACGGTGCCCACCATGACGAATTGTTGTCCTTGTGATTCCGCAGTGCGATGCATGGCGAAGGACTGATGTGTTTTGGTCAGTCCGCCATTTTTGGAGAACTTCGGGCAGGAAAGGCCGATAGAAAGAATCTATCGAGCTTTTCCTCTTGACAGTGGACATAAAAGATATCCTCTATATAAAAAAAACGCTTTAAACGGATAATTCGGTGTCCACTCAGCAACTACTACGACTACACTTAACGTATGGCTCTTCCAACTATCTTATTTAAATTAAGCCTGGCTCCTTCCAAACCTCAAGCTATTGCATTCCACCTGGGAGTGTAGGTCACATGAATTGCTACCTAGTTGTATTCCGCAAATAAGGTAGACTGCCAGCTGGCGATCCTGTTACCGTGTGGCGAAGAAATAAATAGTGCCGTGCAGTGTACGTTCTAAATATAGGTACGTGTGCAGATCCTATGCAATCATTTACCTACTAACTACTATGGAACTAGTCGTCGCTACAACAAAAATCGGAATTGCTCAGAGAGCCGCATTCAAACGGTACATTGGTTCTATCGGGGTAAATTGAGAGTGGGCTGGTTTTAAGTGCAGCTTATAGTCTGATCAACAAAAGACAATGTTTTGCATTGGTATGTGGATAGTGGCAAAGACAATTGCTCACGGGTGAAAATATTAGAGCGGACATACATTACTACAAACGAATCCAGACATTTTCTGGCTAGGCCGCTTCGTGTGTCCAGGCCTTTAGGGAGTGTACTTTTTGGGCAATGGCAAGGGCGTATCCAGGGAGGCAGCTGGGCAAAATAAATGCGTAGATCATTTCTTAAAAAATAAATTATTCAGGTCCAGTGTCCTCCACGCTTTTGGGATCTTGGAAACGGTACAGCGAATGTCACACGATCAGTACTCGTATTTAATGTGTTACGTACGATCAGTGTGTATTTCTGCATAACATTATGCATCAATAATTACTGACGTCTAGGCTACACGGTCAATAAATATCACATCTCTTGATAAGCATAAGACGAGGAGGCAAGTTGCGTAGTTAAATAAAAAAATGAATTTTGGACAGTTTGAAAATTCTAAGTATTCCCGAATTTACTCTAAGTCGTTCTTATTTTTCCCGGCTTTAGTCTAACACAAAGCTTTTCAAACATTCGCATGGTCTATAAATTTTCAATAAATTACACAATAACATTAACACTTTTTCTCTTCTTCGAGCCGGTCTAATTAGAATTTAGATCTGACGTTTCAGCATTCAGTTTTTGTAAATTATACCGATATCTACATTATGTTGTTCCTTAATCGATCAGTTTAAACCAACTCTATGAAGTGATACACTTGAAGTTTTATAAAGATGCGTAACATGTTATCATCTTTAATATTCTATGAAACAAATGGCTATATAATATTTTCTAGTTTTATATAAGAAAAAAAATATATAATAATGTATGACATGATATAATAATTGATATAAGAATTAAAAGCGCCTATGCAAAATTGGCATACGTAAGAAAAATCAAAGTTGAGACGTGGAATAAGAGATAGAAAATCATATAAATGTTCTATTTATACCACCTTGTAGATATCAAAAAGGAGCAATGTCAATGTGCAGTTTATTTTGATATACTATCCTAAATAAATTCAGAAAAAATTAGAAACGATTTTGGGAAAATTCGTTCATCTTCCATGTATCTCCGGAGATACTGGAAGCTTCAAAACTTCTCAAATGCATTTTCTAAAATATATAAATACGCAACTTTGCCAGCACTCAACCGACCCGTATCACTTACCGTTTTAAAGATCAAAATGGACTGGACATACCCATTTTGAAAGTGTGCTCATCCCTTTCCAACTTCTTCTAACTTTAAAGCTGATATAAATCCTTCTGTACAATTTATTTTACAACAGGGTTCACATTTGGTTTGTTTGAATGTTTCAAAAAAGTAATCCTACTAGTTTTCCATATCCTTATGAATTGTCAAATCGTCGTTGAAGACATAAATGAAATGAAAATAGAAAGAAAAATTTAAAGTATAGTTATGTAAACATGATTTGTGGAACCTCCACCAAAAACTTTTTTGAAAGTGTCCCCCTTCGGTTTTGAGCTGGGTACGCCTTTGGGCAACAGGTACAATTGTTTGTGCTCTTTCTTGATTACTCCGAATCTTGCTTCTGAGCCATCCTTGTAGATATGCATGATGCTTTCGAATGGCTGTTCTAAGGTTCGTACAGCTTATAGATGATATTGTTAACTATTATCATCTTAGAGTCCTGATGTCGGTCCATTGTGCTATCATTGGAAATTTTCAAACTAGCACAAACCAGTTCATGTTTCCTTCCTTCATGTTCTTTCTAACTTTCTTTTCTGGGCAACATCGTCTATAAGCGCCAAAGGTCTGATTTTAACCGACTGACCACTGAAATTAGGTTCGCTGTCCCCTCACTATCAGCCATATGACCTACTATGGTAATTTCGAAACTGCCATTATAATTACGATATAAAAATCAGGTGGCAAAATTATCATGAGGTATGATTGACATCAAAGTTACACCGATATGAATTCCAAGCTAAATTGAGAATTGGGCCACAATCTCACCTGATTTCTGTCTTGTAAATAGTTGGACAATAGGCCGATAATCCGCACGTACACAGATACTTGTTAGTTGTTCTATTCATTCATTCAATCAAGGCATCAAATTGTGGATGGGCTGGAGACGTTCTTTTATTACGCCCAACTTGTCACAAATCTGCTGTAAGAGTGCTGTTCTTTCAATATTACGACCGAATGCTATCCACTCTCCGGTTCGACTGACGAAGCCTCAAGACATCGGAAACCGTATGAGTTCCTTGGTTGGGAAAGACGTAGACCTCTGCCTACTTGAAAAAGGGTGGATGTCATAATGCATTTATTTCCGTTTTTGGTCAGTGGAAGGAGTCCCCTAAAATCTTTCTTTTGAAATTACTTTTTACATAGGACTACTTCAGGAACGCTCTCCGTTCTCCCTGTGGTTCGGTATTCGACAAGAAAGAGGTTCTTTTTTGACACCTGTCAACGGCATCCGAGCAGTTCTTCTAGTACTCTTGCTTCTTCTGTAGAGGTTTTTCGCAGCTTAAATTTCCATTATGAAGGTATGGGAGTACTTAAGACATCCAACTTTAGTTTCCTGTATTACTAATCGTGTTTGCCCCATAACACTCTGTAACATCGTGTATACTCAGATTTATAAGCGAGAGCGTAGTATCTTAGCTTATATATCCCGATATCTTCCAGAGCTACGATATTCTATAGATGTTTTGCTTCATCTCGACAGTACTATAAGTTTAATCCAATCGTACAAGTGCATGAAGTGGATGCAGGTCAGCGATGATGAAATATTATTAATCTTTCATCGCATATACGTAACACATACTCGTAGATATTACATTCAGTATTAGATACATGTTTGTGAAAAGAGATAAAAAAAACTTTGGAAAAGGATACGATTTGCAATAACATGACATATCAATTAGTTTGATACCAGGCGTCAAAAATGAAGTCAGACGAACGAATTCAGACCATGTAGAAGAAACAAGTAAACGACTTGTTTGTTACTACGTAGTCAATAGTCAGGTCCATACTACAAACCTAAGATGCCAGTTTAACGCCTGGTGATATTGCACATTGAAGTCGTAATTTTCTGCGAAAACATATAAAAGTGTGTGGGTTTCATACAGTCCTAGTATTCCAGACAATTGCCGAATATGGTGGAGGTTTCTGTGGATTAACAAAAAGTAGTTTGAACAAAATTAGGGCAGGTCCTTTTATTGATAAGTGTACCTCAACATTGAACATTTACCTGGTCAGATGTGACGTAATTTTGATACACTTCATTTCACTTCTTGTTTCGTTGAGCACGCAGTCCCAATTTCTAAGGATTGTGAACAGAACTGTCCCTTCAACAACATTGAAAAATGCAAAACATTTGAGACAGCTCAAAATGTTTGATGGACACTAAAAGGAGCTAAACGAAACGTTATTACAATTAAACTAAGCTAAAACATCTACCTTAATTTTGAATCTGAAAGTTCTCAGGCAAGGTACTTTCACGCTATAGCTAGTAATTTTACGATCTGATTTCAGTGCCACGAGATTCTATGGAGAAAGCTTAGTGCGCCAAAAAAAAAAATTACCTTCTTTTTTTTTGTCGTATTTATTAACAGCGATTGACATCGCAACACAGATACTTTTTGTTCTGCTGTGTGTGTGTGTGTGTGTACAGGTGTAATTGGCTACTTGAATTTCTTTTCCAGGAAAAATAATGTACGCCAATGTATTGGTTCGTCACTTTGGTGGGCAATGGTATTCAAATTACCCAAAAAATGATCTAAAACTACAAAATTTTGGCTTGGGCATGGTTCCTCCTAATCTATTCGAATTCATTGAGTCAAACAAATTGATTTAATTCCTCCCAGAAACGTAATAAAGTTTCTGAAAAAAGTTTTACGAAGCTACAATAAAAGCTGGTATGTCAGTTAAAAATAAACATACAAAAAATACTAATTACTACTCCATCGAAATTGTAAGATTTGAGAGATTAAAAAATTGCCTTCCCGTAAAAATCTAGACTTTTTGTTTCGCCAACACTGCACCAGTTTTGTCAAAAAAGGATAGTTTATTCCGTTATGGCCTCACCTTAACAGCATTTTGTCACAAAAAGCAAAATTTAGGCAAGGATTCCTGAGATAAAAAGCTTCACATTTTGAAAATTTTTGACAAATCGCACCCATTCTTCGTAAATACTTACTTGTCATAGTAGGTTTTTAATGTCAAATCAAATTTCATTTCTTTTCTTCACTTAACAGTGTATCCCGTAAGAGACATCGTTTGTGCTAAAGTGTGAAAACGTGTATACATACCCAAAAAAGTTCGGAGTATTCCAACTTTCACTCGAGTAAAAATCTGAGCAAGTGTATGTGCATCTATTACTGCCAAAAATATGTAGTAGAACCATTAACACTCATATGTTTCAACAGATTTGTAAAACTGAAACGCGCAAATGCTGTACGAGGTGCTGCATGCCAAGAAAACACTTCAACAACATCAAAACGACTTGCTCCAAGGGAAATTCCGAGCTCGCAAAAATTTTATATCTTTAAAAACGATGATGTTGATTAAAACGCGGTGCCAAATGCATGTCCCCGGCTTGTGGGTGAGCTGTAATCATTCCGCAGGAACTGAAATATGAACGAGTTGAAGGTTTTTGAAATCCTTGGCTAATTTTACGGAACAGGTGGGATTTTTTTCAGTTCAACCTAAACATTTTGTCAAATGGTCGAATGTTACACCGCGGCAAGAGCGGTGAGAATACGGGGAAACTGAGGACTCTTTATCGGAGGAGCCCACATATGTGCATATATTTCACCCTCAAGGAGCAGAAACACTGGTTGATACTTCTATGTTCGACGTCTACCACATATTTATGTAGTCCAATCTAATTGAGCATTTTGGTGACAGAATTAAAGGACGTTACCAACTATAAATTAAAACAAAAAATGGAAAATTTGGTGATTCAAATGCACTAAAACGCAAAAACTGTAAAATACGAATCGTTCTTGAACTGCCTAAATTTACTGAACGTTCTTGAATTGCCTAAATTTACTGAAAATAGATTTCGATGACACTTGGTAATTGCAGAGCAAAACAAGAAACATAGAACAGAAACGATACACAGGAATGCACGGTGATGTATTGGTTTGTTACTTTCGTAGGCAATGATAGACAAATTCGCCAAAAGTATACACTAAAACTACACAAACAATGCAATGTAAATATACACTGAAAACCAAATACCACTGACGTCGTGTACGAGAGTCAAGCGCGAGAAGCGTGCAATACGCGTCAGACAGAGATAGAAGCACCTCGTTGCCTAGCATCCCGAATACGAGGACATGAATGCCACCAGCACACTCTTTCTAACATACATATTGCACGCTTCTCTCTCGTACACATTATGACGTCAGCCAAATATGAACCTCACCAGCTCCTTCTAATCTATTCGAATTCATTGTACAATACCGATTACGACAGAAGCAAGGTAATTACTTTTTTTTAGCAACATCTACACGACTATCTTGTTCCCATAGCAAAGTTGTTTGTGCTACACTTTTCAAATCAAATATGATTTTAATGTCTTAAGCAATAATAACAAGTTCGTTATTTGAATTGTCTGTTCTGCTTTATATACCGTAATTGGAATGTAGAAAGTTTTCAAAGTTGTATCATCTGAAATCATTAAAACAACTTATATTGAATAGAAATTTCATTCTTTATAATAATTACCAATTATTAACGTTTCCGTTCATTTTATAAATTATGTCGACTTAGTACTACGAGATGAGAGAAGCCCATACAAATATTGTTTAAAAAGTAGTTTCAGGATATCTAAAAGTATTTATTATATGCACCTCGTTGGTCCCATTTTTTAAATCTACCTTATATTAATTATTCCTCAATATTGACGCACTGTAAATCAAGAAGTAGTTATACCGGTCTGGACTGGCGGTTCTCCTGCAGGCTGAGAGCAGCACAACATCATGGGAAAAGCTCTGCGATGCAAAGCCCACTGGTATATTGGTAGAATATAGCTAATCACAGAGCTCTGTCGATGTGAGAAAGATTTGAGACCGTCATTCAAGAAAGTATGTTCGATAAAACTGATTCTGAGGTGTGTGAAACTCGTGTTTTTGCCGAAAACACCGGTACTATAGATGGGGCATGAATATTAAAATCGTAAAGCAAATTGCATAACACGTCACCGTTTTTAAATCTAGCTGCAGCTGTACGAATTTATCGTAAAAGCCAGCTGTAATTAAATTATAATATCAATATTTGTGAATGTCAGAGAATTATGAACGGCTGACCCCTAAATACTAGTAGGCTAGGCTCTTTGAAATACCAGAGTCAGTTATATTTATCAACGGTGTGCTCGAAAAATTGCATCAAGTAGGCTGATTCTCCACTTCGCTTGCAATACTGTGATCAGTTCTTAAAAGATAATGTTCGACGCAAGTTAGCCCACGTGAGAAAAAAGTTAGCAACAAAAAAATCAATCAAGTCAGTCAAACAGTCTTATAAAATAGTCCCCACACATTTGACGAATGTGCAATCTAGAAATATCTCCCCTGCCATACATGACAGTATCGACCATCTGCCAACGTTGCCATGGGTGCCTACAGGCGGGTACCCAGAATGCCGTGATCCTCAATCCTATGAATTCGCACTTCAGTATTATCAATGTCAAGGAAATGTAACTACCTTTCTCGGAAGTTTGTTTGTCATAAGTTTCAGAAAAACTACAGCCTACCAAATTTCTTGAAAATACTACATATGGTTGGTAGATCTCATTTTACAATTCTACGTACGTTCGCGTAGCTTGAAAATTCTAAAGTAGTAACCCCTAATTAAGAACCAAATCCTCGATCTTGTTTGTACTCTGCTTCTGTACTATCCAGCAATTTATATGTAAGATTATTCAATCGGAAATAAATCGTTTACGTGACATTTTTAACGACTAGTTGCAGCTGCTCGTATTCATCGTAAAATTTGATCGAGATAATCAAATTAATAGTCTCGACATTTGTGAATATTATTGAATAGCAACATACACTAATGTAGTTAGCAGGAGTAAATTTCCGGTAACAGGTGAGTTACCGCACTTTTCGAATTTGTTAGGAAAAAAGCTTCTGTAAACGTTAATACTCCCAAACCTGCTGTTAGCGCACATTGGGAAACGCTATGCTACTAAGGGAGGTTTTCCTCTCGGCAGCACACATCTACGAGACAAATGTATCTCTAATACTACAGCAGCTATAGCCCGGTAGTGAAGAGATTCCGCGACTTACATCCTTCTCAAAGAAACAGGATCCAGTGAGGCAAGATTACACCTGGAAGGCGTACAGGAAAGCTTCGCGCTTGGAACCTATTTGCATTCTTAATGCTGACTTACCTAGAGAAACTTCAACAGTGCACCGAGTGAAGAAAATTTGTATACAGTATACAAGCCCTGGCGCAATGGCATCTCCTAGGACAAGTTCAGGAATGCACAGAGTTCATTCCAATCCAAAGAACTGACCCTGATTTGGTTTCCGAACAAATTGGAGTACTGGATCATGAAAAAGCAGATTACCTGGTCCAGGGGGTTCTGCATTGGTCCCGAGCCTAGAGAGAGTTCATGACTGTAAGCAGGCCAAGAGATTTATAGCGAGTCCTGACAGATGGATACGCTAGCTAGAACAAAGGTGGATAACCGATCAACCTTTTGGTGGTGCTCTCACCAGCCACTGTAGCTGAACAGTCACTTGTCCCTCCTAAGTACGAATAGAGATTCTATCTGCCACTTGTGGTGGGAGGAGGACGAGAAAGCGTTCCACTTTCTAGGGGTCTGAGCCGTAAATCGCAGTCTAAGGGCTGAGATATTCGGGGAGCCATGGAGTTTACTCGTGAAGTTGCATATTCAGCCGAGAGGTCGGATATCCTGACATTCATTAGTAGAGAAACATGTAGAGTCTACTCTACACTCTGTTGTTGGTACACACAAGGTCGGCAAAAAGGGCAAAAGGACGTCTCATCAGCATACCACACAGCTATAACCCGCCAGCCAAGGGGTGCTCGCTCAGATATTCCAATACCACAAAATTACTACTCGTGATATACATGCTGTGGTAAGCTGACAGGATGCCGATGGATATTCACGGTATTGCCAAGAAAGTGTAGGAAATTTGATGCTCTCTGCTGCCGATTCCAGAAATATTATGTAATCCTTATTAGTCATCGTTAAGCGAGTATGTAGCATATAATTATGGATTACTTTCACCTCCAATGTCAATGCCCAATTTTACCTTAGAAACCAAGAAGAACACGCCTCTGGAGTCGGCAGTGACAGGGTTAGCAATGAATGTATTATGCATTCAGCGTCCGCTCATTATATCTTCGATTTAATGCGACTTCCTATATATCCTGCAGACATTTTTGTTCTTGGGCGATGGAGCGGAAACCCTCTGGATATGTGCCTTTTTACAGGGTGTTTGAACTTCTACGTTGTAGTACACCTTTACGTTTAATATCGGGAGGCTTAACTGTACGGCAAGCATATTATACTGGTAGAACATGAGCAAAAACTATAGGGATCGCAATAACTATAAAAAGGATTTTGGAAACTCTGAATTTTCTGATAATACACAATCGTTTTATTCCTGATTAAAAACCCCACCAGGCTCCTTGATCTCTTAAATAGCCAAAACTTGTGAGGCCTAGATCCTATAGCATGCATCCGAGCTTTGGCCTACTTCAACAATCTGATGATGCGATAAAAGAAGAATATCGAACTAGTTCTGATTACTAACATCCCGCTGCCAATACGTTTAATTTCATTTCAAAGGTACGGTAGTTTGATATAATGTAATTTCTGAACAGGTCCTTTCTGGTTGAAATATCAACAGCATTATGCGAAAAAGCTTTGCAATAGAATTCAATGCAATTGCAGAAAGCTGACGATGAGTAACACTATTTTAAAGCCCTTCTCAGTTAATGAGTGTTATTTGAAACATGGGTTATATTGTGGTAGAAAAAGTCTTATGAGGCGAGGGCCACAACCCCAGGGTTTAACTATTCAAGACGTAGATCCGTAAAAAAAACCCACAAAACTTTTATTCGGGTATAAAAAGTGGCGTCAAGTACGCTGACTGCACTTTCCACAAAACGCTGTCACCATTTCATAAAGGATTATGTTCACCATAAGTGATTAGCTACGAAAATCCTAAAAAAAAACTATATAGGTCTGTCAGACAGTCCCATTCGATTAAACCCTAGTCCTTACCCATATGACAACGTTGTGAGTTGCTGAAATTTCTCCCCTGCTCTATCGACAGCATCTGGCAATGTCTGGCAAATATCGCACGCCAGCAGTCAGCCTACGATACAGGTATACCTGCTTACTTTCGTGGCACTTGATTTCTCGTATGATGAAGTTTTAAGGGCAAATATATG